CGCGAAGACGACAGTGCTCGACTTTTAAATTCAATTCCTGTAAGAAATGCCACATCAGACGACGACTGGACCGAACTTATTACGGACTATTTCACCGCACCGGCAGCTGAGAGAGAATGACACTGGCAGCTTGACCTCCGAGTCTGACTCGGCCTTCACCCCGCCGACACCGGCCGGCTCCGATCGAAGAAAGTGAGTGTGACGGAGGCGAGGAGGACCCAATGGTAGCTTACAATGTCTCCGATTTTAATAACATAAATAGTGTAAAGGAAATTGAAATAGCCAGGGAGGTGTAGCTGCAAACTCCACAACAGCAGCCCTTGTTACAAGCTCTTCACACCAGAGGAGATGTTGAGAAGACGGGACCAAATCAGAGAAATGACGAATGGTAAGTAATCTAGTCTACTCAGCTTGCTTGGCTACATGATACTTGTTTTCTGTTTGTAAACGCAAGGAGGCCTAATAACAAAATAACTTGCTATTGGTGCCTTGTAATGTCTGTGTCTGTGTGAGTCTGTGGGTGTGTGTGTGTGAGTGAGTCTGTGTGTCTTTGTGTGTGTGTGTGTGTGTGTGTGTGCGTGCGTGCGTGCGTGTGTCTCTGTGTGTGTGTCTGTGTGAGTGAGTGAGTGAGTGAGTGTGTGTGTGTGTGTGTGTGTGTGTGTGTGTGTGTGTGTGTGTGTGTGTGTGTGTGTGTGTGCCTATGTGGTATAGACTGCCTTTACACCAGGTTACCCATCAGCATTCCCCGGACCTCAGTGAATTAGCTGGACTATGCCTAAGTCCGGCTAATTCAGAAAGTGTATCTACATTATTTAGTGTCTAACTAACATAAATTCAAATTTTCTTTGATAGTCCATCTATACCACTTGACCTGACAATTTGTGTATCCCAGTGAATCGAACAGCGCAACCTACAGCTTGGGATGGATTTGCACTTTCTTACACATTTTTGATACAAACGGTGCAAATTAGGCGGGAAGTCCTGTGATTGGCTGGTTAAGTTTTGTGGGCGTGGCCTACCGAACGTCGAGTCCAAGGTCCGCCCTCACTCTCCAGACTTTAAGAATTAAATGGACCTACACGCAGCAGAGACCGTATGGACTAAACAACATTCTGGAATTGTTTCTTTCTGAAGGTAACCTTTCACATTTGTGGCTTAAGCTTTATTTTGCTCTTATGTTCTCAGTTTAGGGTAAGTTGAGGAAAGTTGGCATGTATTTTTACATTAAAAACTTGCACAGCAAGCCACACATGCTTTGTGCTAACTGAGCTATGTTTTCGAGACCTCCACTTGCACATAAAACCTTTAAAGGAGACAGCAGGTGCAGAGAGGGGCATTGGCAACTAGTTTTCACCCCATTTTTATATCTTTGAGGAAAAATAGTCAAATATATTATCTGTTTCAACTCCTGGTTTTGTTTGCTTGGCAAGCTAGTTAGCTAGCCTGCAGCTATGCCCTGCTTGTTTAAGTCGGGCCTGTGTGTAGCATAGTGTAGCCTACTCCCGAGTCTGTCGTGCATTAATGAACTCTGTGGGTCTTTTTTACTCTGGGTTTTTGTGCATGCCTTTATTCTGCAGAAGACTGAGAGGTTAGTTCAGGTGTAGCATTTGGAAAAAAATCAGTGAGAGGTTGTTAAGCTCTGTCATGGATGATTTCACTTTTTATTATATCAGGATTGATTGAGTCTTGAATCTGTTAGGTTCTTTATTTTTTGGACTGGACAAATTGATATGAATATGTGTCTTGAGCTCATTTTTAATGTCTGTTTCTGGCTGAGATCTTTGTCTTAGTTTCTGTCAGTCACTTTTTTTAGTAATACTAAAAGAATATAGGTAACCTGATGTCAGAAGCACACCAATAGAAAGGTACTGATACATCTGAAAATAATCATTTAAAGAATGCTTTGTTCTGCACAAATTTAAGCCACAAATATTTGATATATAGCTGTAAGTAAAAAGTGAGTTTTTAATGCCAGAACTACACACAAAGTGACAATGTCATATTGTGCAAAGAGCAGAGAATCAGAAAAAACATCTATCCAAAAAACATGGTTGCTAGTGAACATTGTTCTTTTTTACTTTCAAAGCCGAAAGTATGAAGCTTCATAAGTGAATTTTCATAGGTCATTAACTTAAATAAATATTCAAATGTTCTTTAAAAGGACTACCAATCTTTTTGTATTTCAAGTCTAATTCAGTGTTAGAATGAATTCATGTGTTAGTGTAACTGAGTCACAATGTGGTTTACCTGGACACTGTTATACAGAGACAATTTAGAATAAGTTATGTGTTAGTGTAACTGAGTCACAGTATGGTTTACCTGGACACTGTTATACAGAGACGCTTTCATGAAGTGCTTTTCTAAGTCTGAGTCAGTGTAACTAGTAATAATCAGGTCCACCTCCATCATCAATCATTTAGAAGATGAGTTTTCACACTCTACACCTTGCAGTCATATTTTCTTTCGATTGACATAACAATAATTCCTTACTTAATTTCAACATGGTTCTTAAAGAAAGCATGAAGCCTTTCACATGATGTTCCTCAGACAGCATGTAGTCTTTAAGATGTATTAATGTCTGATATTATCTCTGCTTTCTCTTCTCAACTAGAACCTTGGTGAAGACATGCCTCAGAAAGTGTCTGGGGCCACAGATTCACAGACTTGCGTTGCAGATGCTGAAGAGGTAAATTGTCACATAATACCCTTTTCATACATACGGAAAGCTCCTGTAAAACCCAGGATATTTCCAGGTGCTGTGTCCCCCCCACCAAAGTCTCATAAAATCCTGTGTTTTTTCTTAGTATAAGGTGGAAAGCTAACTGTTCCATACTTAATTTAGTTTTTAATTCAGTTCAGCTTGTAGTTAAAGGAGCAATATGTAAGATATTAACTTAAATAAACGATAAAGTGACCTTACTATATGATCAGACATTAAGGAAACATGCTATGTTGAAGTGCTGGCTTCTCTGACAACAATGCAGCAGCCAGTATGTCCTCCTTCTAACTTTAGATTCTGGTCCTGAATGCTCTGGATTTGTTTGGACCAGAGAAGGTAGGCGGTTTTAAGGAACCCCCACACAGCCGTTTTGGACACCCCTGGGTTTGCTAGATATGAGAGCAGTTATCAGGTCAACAGGTGTTGCAGTAATGGAAACGGGCAAGAGAAGTGGTTCAGATAGAAGTGATTGTACCCTACCTAAAAAGCCTCTGCATGTTTCTAATAAGCTCCACGAGCAGAAACGTGCTCAAACTAGGATCAATATTGGAGATGCTTTTGAAAAAAGAAGAGAAGTATGGGCGCAGAAAGGTTTGCTGTAAGGAAGTGAAGGGGAGAACACAGGGGGCAGCTCTCCCCCATGTTATTAATTTAATTTTGGAATATTTTTAAGTTTTGATATTTTTCTCGGACTGCGGTACACATTTAAAAGCTGATACTTGCATATTGCTCCGATAATTTTGTTTAACCAGAGTACACAAGACTTAAGAAATGCAGCACAGTTAGGCCAAGTCTTTGATAGCAATGGAATAACGCTTAAGTATATCAAAATCAAAGTCAACTTTATTGTCAATTTCAAAATATGCCAGAGATACAGTGGAATCGAAATTGCGTTTGTCTCCGTCCCGCGGTGCAATACAACCAAAATAAGGTAAAATTAAAAAAAATAGATAAAATAAAATGAGGTAAAAATAAGATAAATAATATTTACAGTAATAAATTCTAAATTGTGCAAAAGGTACAAAATGGTAAATAAAATAAATTAAATTAAATTAAATTTAAAGAAAAAGTAAACTTGTGCAATATGTGCAATGTGCAGTAAACTGAGTGTACTGAGTGCATATGTTTTTATAACCAAACTGATTTTCATTCACTAAATTTGTCAATAAAACTCTCTTAACTAAAAATCTGACCTGCCACTCTTAACAACATCTGAAAGAAACCCTACAATAGGTACATTACTTAATGTTTTTTTCGTTTTGTTTTTAAATTTTTTAGTTTTTGTTCTCTTTATTAGATGATCCCTGAGACGAAGCAGAATCGGCTCACCTCACCAGGTCAGATGAACCTGGAGGTCCAAAGTGTAAAGGTAAATTGCAAGTTGCATTTAAATGGTTTTGCTCCTATGACAAATGACATCTTTAATATGTAAATACAAAATACCTTCTTCTAAATACTGAAGTTACGTTTTGTCAACAGTGTCAAAAACATCGGCTGGTGTCCACAACCGTACCCTCAATGGACAAATGTGTGCAATGTGTCGGACCTGTATCCTCATTTAAGTGGCTTGGCTATCCATGTACAGGTGAGATACTTGGAGAATCTGCACATTTTTTGTTGAAAGGCAAAACAATATATATATAAAGTCAATAATATGCACTGTGGTCAAGGAAATGTTTTAGCATCCTTGACAGATACACCTTTGATACCAAAAACGTCCTTTGTTTACAGTGTAGGCTGATATACAAACATTTGCAGGCTCTGCATTATATTTAAAAGGACATGTTTTCTGTCTACCTTGCGGTAACTGAACATTTTTAGTATTTGATGGAATGTTTTGAAAAATGAAGACCGGGGAATTATCATAGCAAATATGAATGCAGAAAATAAAACTCAAATGACCAAAATTGTCTTGGAGGTCACAAGGGTTAAAAAAGGATGTTTATGGTCCTTATGACCACAAGGAGTGGTTAAGAAATATCTCTGGTGGCTTATAGTGTGTCTTAGAGTTCTACAAGCAACACATATGTGACGGGTATGGAAGAGAGGAGATTTTAATTGGATTTATTTAGTTTAAGGTCACTTGGTCTGCAAATATACCTTGGCGGCTGTATGCTTTGCAGACATATTTATCATGTTTAGGCTTATTATAATATTGATTCATAAAGGTGAAATGGTTTATAAATATTGAGCTTCTCATGTGAGTTTTGATCATACCTCTAGATGACATACAGTTAAATGATGCTGAGGTCAAGGACAGTGGAGTGAAGCCGATGACAGTGCACAGAAGCTTCAGCGTGTGGAACCAGGCAGCCTGTGGATGTGGCATCAGAGTTTACTATCATTGATCAGGTCCATGACTCTGAAGATACAGGTAGGTGACCTCACTTTATTGAGTACAACTGATTCAAGTTAGTTTTTCCCGCAGAAAAATAAACTCTCAAATATTTGTCTTATAGAAACCGTGTCTTTGGTTCCATCCACGAAAGATGAGACTGCCATTCTTCCTGAAGGTAAACAAAGTCTAATTGTAAAGCCCATCTTGTGAGACAGAAATGTAAATCTTTGTATCATTTTATCTCAGAGTGTTTAATCTTTCTTTTAAAGCATGCAAAAATGTTAAAAGAAACATAGAAAGTGCAGGATTATTATATCTTCCTCCCTTTAAAAAATGTACCTTAAGGACTAAAATTACACTAAACTAAGAAGCTATTCTCTCAATCTCAGGGGACCACATGTATAAACGGTGCGTGCAAACTAAAATCTTAAGTATGCTGTGTTTCACGCACACGTCGTGATGTATAAGAATCAGCGTGACGCGAGAATGTGCGGACCCTGCCGCAAACTGTTTTTTTGACAGTGCCAAATTATTTAGTTCTGAAACTCGCCAGATGAGCCATAATAAATTTGCCAGTCAATTTACTAAACTATTTTCATGAAGTGGGATAAATTAAAACATATTTTTTATAGTTTGAGCAACAAAAACACATCTAACGAACAGATGTCTTAACCTCTGTGCAAAACCAAAAATCACTATTTTTGTGACATGGAGATGTTAACACACATCAGGGACTGAACAGTCCCCGAGGCGCACAGATATTCATGACACAAAGGAAACGAGGCGCACTCCCACCTCCTGTGCAAGCAGGTAGTGCGCTGCACAGTGTGGCAAACGTGGTGTGCTTGTGCCTCAGGAGCTACAAATGGACGAACCTGACACTGGCCCGGCACCGGACACCGAGCCAAACGCAACTATACAGCACCGTTAGGATACAGAGAACGTGAAACAATGCGGGATGTCTGTCTGTGTGTGTGTGTGTGTGTGTGTGTGTGTGTGTGTGTGTGTGTGTGTGTGTGTGTGTGTGTGTGGTGTGTGTGTGTGTGTGTGTGTGTGTGTGTGTGTGTGTGTGTGTGTGTGTGTTGTTTGTGTGTGTGTGAGAGAGAGTGAGTGAGTGTGCTGTGTGTGTGTGTCTTTGTGTGTGTCTGTGTGTGTGAGTGAGTGAGTGAGTGAGTGAGTGAGTGAGTGTGTGTGTGTGTGTGTGTGTGTGTGTGTGTGAGAGAGAGTGAGTGAGTGTGTGCGTGTGTGTGTGTGAGAGAGAGTGAGTGAGTGAGTGTGTGTGTGTGTGTGTAGGGTAGCAAACGTTGCTTTGAGTGTATGTGAGAGACAAAAATGTGAGGAAATTATTTTAAATAAAGCAACAAATAGCCTTTAATAAAGTCTGGGTTGTAAAACCATCTGAAATCACATTGTGAATGTTATGTTCTGAACATGGGGCATATCATAATGCCATGTCCTTTTGTAGATGAAAAACATCTGGTTTTCCTTGGAAAGATAAGCTCCCATATGACCCTGTCCAAGGAAACGGTGTGCTCCAAGAGAATCCAGCAGAAGGAGCGTAGGCATCAGAGGACTGCCTATTGACAGAAAATATGCCGGGAGACCTTCAGGTTTCTGCATGTGTTAGTTACCATTTAAAAATAAACCCTACATTAAGCTCTTTTAAAAACTATAATGATAAGCATATGACATACTTCATCTAATTTGCATAATGGTTATTTTTTTCCAGAATATCTCAAAACAAGCTCACCAACCTTATCAAATTTTATAAACAATATGGATTTGCCCCAAGGATGAAAAGGTCTGGTGGGCATGTTTTGAGCAGGAGGCTGCTGACTGAAGCAGTTCATGGTAAATTTTGCTGATGTCCACGCCATGCCAACCCCTGGGCGCATCCCCGGTTTCAAAAGGTCTGACATCCAGGTGCTTCCCACAACAGGGACCATGACATCAGTGTGGCGGAAATACAAGGCTCAGATGTGCTAATTAAATAACACTAGATTGATTACATTGTACATAATTGTTTAAAATAGTCATATTAAATACTCTTCTATATTATTATTCCCACTCCTTTTAAATCATCAAATTCAAGGACTTTTCAAGGACTTTCCAGGCCCAATTCCCTCTAATTCAAGGACCCAACAAGGCATAGTTTGAGACACGGATCAAGGTTAATTACCGTTACAAAACTGAGAATTTTTACAATGAGAACTAGCAGGCTTTATAGAACAACTATTAAAAAGAGAGAGAGGCTTGGATGTGTGAACACTTCTCAATTGTGCCGTGTTACTGTGATGGCAGGCTATGTGGCCTATTGACGAACGTTAAGTAACAAAAATTATAAAAAGAACTTCAATTTCTATTCTTGCACAAAATATATAAATTCAAGCACTTTCAATGACCCATGTCTATTTTCAAAAACTTTCAAGGCCTTGATTATTTTTTTTGCAAGGATTTCAAGGACCCATGGGAACCCTGTATTATAGTAAATAACACTATATCAGATTATATTGTACATAATTGTTTTTAATGATTATCAAATTATTTATTCATTTCTTGCACTGTAACTTTTATTACCTGTCTTATTCTATTTTAGCTTGTTTTTATTTTCTATAATCTGGGCTCTTTAATGATAATTTTTTCTAATTGTATTTAAGTCCTTTTATGTGTTTCTGTGCACTTTGTCACAATGCTTTGAATGTTTTATGTAAAGCACTTTGAATTGACTTGATTGTTTATAAATGTATTTCAATTAATTTGGAAAATGGCAGAATTTTGATTGCTGTCTTTAATGCCCTTTTTCTCAATAACAAGGTTTGGTGACAGTCGACATTTGGAAGACTGTATCTCGTAGAATATCTGGAGTAGAAAAATAATTTTGGTATTGCCATAAAGCTGAGACTTTCCTCTTTACAGCCATGCAGAAAACTCAAAATATGTTTCTGGGTTAAAGTGACTCAAAGTGATGGCGCAGGTCACATATAGACTGGATGAGCAAATTCCCATGCTCCCCCAAGAAGCCCTGTGAGGGTAAAGAGCTGGTCCTCTGTCCCACGGCCAGGACGGAATCCACATTGTTCCTCCTGTATCCGAGGTTCGACAATCGGCCGGAGCCTCCTTTCCAGCACCCTAGAGTTAGCTTTCCCCGGAAGGCTGAGAAGTGTGATACCCCGAAGTGTGATAATTGGAGCACACCCTCCGGTCCCCCTTTTTTAAAATGGGAACCACCACACCGGTCTGCCTCTCCACAGGCCACTGTTCCAGATTTCCACGCAACATTGAAAAGGCGTGTCAGCCAAGACAGCCCAACAATGTCCAGAGCCTTTAGCATCTCAGGGCGAATCTCGTCCACACCTGGAGCCTTGCCACTGAGGAGCTTTCTAAAGCTTTCTCTAAAGCCTCCACGAACACACCAGAAACTACACCCACACCCAAAACCTGAAACTACTGCTGGTAAATAACTCTCTGAACCATTAGATTGGTTTTCATTGTCCATCCAAGGCTCTGTTGGGCAAAGATTTGATCTGCCAACTCCTTCTGTCTAATGAACCAGATGGTCCATATTGCCTTGGACAGTGGAAGATTCCTACTCACAGAGTTTTGTAGCATACATTTTGTGATTTTTTTTTTTAGTGATCTCACATCTGAAAAACGTGTTACAAGCATTTATTCCTAGCAAAAACTGACCTCGTGAAGTCAAGTGAAGCTCTCTGCCTGTATCACGGGAAGAGTTACACAATCTGACACTGGAGTTAACCATTGTCAAAAATAATTTGGACAATTAGTATTCAAGTAATCCTTAACAGCAGTTTGCAATATGATATACACATGCACAAACGGCCACACTGTGTGCTGCTTCAGGGGGAAAAAAACTGACATCTGACAAAAAAAAAAAAAGACATCTATTCTAGCAATATGATATACACACGCACAAACGGCTACACTGTGTGCTGCTTCAGGGGGAAAAAAAACTGACATCTATTCTAGCCCAAAGATTATACACAAAACCCGAGTTTATTTATTTTCAACACTTAAAACAATCAATTCATCTGAGGGTGGCTTCACACTAGGGACCCGGGCCCAGATCTAAGTACGCTTGAGCCCAAAGTCCGGTTCATTTGATCAGTGTGAACACAAACGTACCATACTCATACAAAGTGTAACAGTACTCGGGTACTGTGCCAAAGTCCACTTGAAGAGGTGGTCTCGGGCTGGATTCATGTGTACTCAAGTACGGTCCGTGGGAGATCCTTGCCCTTTGTCTATATATGTGATTGTCAGTAGACTGTTATTACCACGGTAGAAAAAATGCTAGGCAATGGGAGATCATTCTCTGATATATTTATGGATGGCATAGTTTTTATCCCACTACACATGGGATTTGTGACATTGGTTTTTATGTGAATTCTTGACCTATGGGCAAAAGCTCAAGGAGAACACATTGAACCATTGAACTGCGACCACAATAATCTGCCCGTGGATGTTTTTGTTGTTCCTAATATATTCTCTCATTGTGATCCTGACATATCACTTTACCCAATTGGGTTTACTGGAATTGTGTTTAAAAAATCTGTGAAAGTGTACATCCTCGTCACTATAGACTGTATAAAAAATGGACAGCACAGGTGTTGGAGAAAAGAGAAGCCAAAATATCTACAGCTGCCCCTGTTGACTGGTTGCAGTATAGGTCTTAACCCCGCCTACTCCATGTTTAAAGATGGAACATTGCGCAAACTTTAAGATAAGAAAAGTTTCCATCATTATGGTCAGTTCTTATTATGCCGATTGACATCTAAGTGTTCTGTTTTCTGAGAATTTTATTTTTAATCAGTTATTTGACGCATAAAAGAGGAGATGTACCGCCAAGATTTGACAACACTGTGTTTTGTGTTCTCAGTGGTGTCTTCTTAAGGTTTACCCAAGGCTCAGTGCACAGGTCAGACAGGGCAATAGGATCTGTTGTAAGATCCAAAAGAATCAGGTGAATGGAATAGCCAAGTAGGATTTAGGTTACAAACTGATCCAATTATTTTTGTAATATACAGGACTCATTGTTGTGCCTGGTTTTCATATAGTGTTCACTGAAGGTCTAATCTGAACAAAACATTACAGAAATTGAAAGCACTCTAACCAGTTATTTGCACGAGTAAGTTAAGGCTGTTACTCAAGGTGTATCCACCACAATTGGTTCAAGTCTTCAGGGCTCATGCTTTGCAGCAAGCTACAACATTTGAATATAATCATTTACTCCTCTCAATGATTTTACATATCATTTTGTGCATTGCTTACACTCTCTCCTAGCGGAATTAAAAAAAGTAACTCTAAAGGGCAGATGGATTGCTACCTATAAAAAAGTGTCTGGAATTGTAACAGATTATAACCTATTTCCACTTGTTTAACAGGAAGTGGAACTGCCAGTGTGTCCTAAACTAGTCGAGCAGCATGATTACCTGCACAAAAATAAACCACACTGCCTTCAGGGAAGCAGCGGGTCCTGAGATTCCATCTCTGCATCAGCATGTAAAGCTATAATTGACCCCCAGAGGGTTAGGATTAGCGTTTAGCTGCATCCCCCAAACTAAACCAAAGATCAATTGGCAATTTACTGTAAAGCCAAAGTGGCTGTTGCATAGTGCTGGCTGCAATAAAAACTCCTTACTCTAACCTCCCTACCCTGAGGCAGGTGAGTGAATGTGACTGTTGGTTATTTAAATCCCTGGAATGGATTTGGAAACCTGGTTGGAACAGGTGAAGGGCTTATACTTTCTACAGCTGCAGACACTGTCAGTCAGTTAAGTTTGCCGATAAAAAAGCAAAAGCAACTGAATGACAGGGAAACAATTAAAGGACACATCTGCACAACGACACGTGTTTATGTTCTGCAGGGTTGGACTGTTTTATATCAAGACGAGTGACAACGTTATACCTATTCACACCTCCATTATCTAATCCCGATCTGTTGTGACTACAACTTCAAAAATGTTCAACTCTTTTGTGAATTGTTAAGTTTTAATTACCGTATATTTATTTTATACCAAATTATTCTTATGTAGACGGTGAATTAAACCAGAACTAAAAGAAAAATTTTGAATCATTTTCACTTTTATGTTTGGAAAAGCTCATGCGTCTACTTGGTATTCATTCCTGGTCCCTGGTGTGTTTTTCCAGAGCTTTTCTACAATATCTGACTTCTTGTTGCCACAAGTGTCATTCACCTGATACAGTCACCTGCTCTCTCAGTTCCCTCCAGTGGCCTCATCACCTGCCTCATTACCTCCAAAGTGCCTTGTAACAGAAAACATACTCCTTGAAATCACTACATGAAATCATGCTATGCTTTAAAGGCTTTATATGTGATTTTTTGATCCAGCACATGTCGCCCTTGAGCACCAGCATGAAACCAGCATGCTAATGCTAGCGATCTTTATTATGCTGGTATCTTCACACTGCATGTAAATTTACCCGAAATAATCGTGATCTAGAAAAACAGTTAAGCAGTGAGTACAGTATGTTATTCTTCTTTTCTCTAGTCCCTAAATTAAACAACTTTTATATGCGTCCGGGCGATGTAAACAAACTGGAGATAGGACTCGGAAAACTCGGAAAGCATCACAGACAGTGGGACTCGGGTGTCACATCCATTGTAGACAGTCATGACTCACAGAGTTATTTTCAGAGGATATACTTGATTTCTATTATATCTAAGTGTGAAAAATTGCATATAACGCCTTTAAAGATTGATTTGATTTTGTATTCTTAATGATTTAATTGTTATGTGCTGTCCTTAAATGTAGTGTTGATTGTATACTAGTGAAAAACAAACACAGTGTCAACACGCCTCTTTCTGTTTCTTCCTCACTGTGTTTGTTTCTGCACTGCTCCCTTATTCATCAGCAAATTTGAGTTTCAGGGCGTCATCACATTAGCAACACTTGTTTTAATTGAGCACAGTGACCCCAGGACATTAGGGTCAAGTGTACTCAGTTCACGGCCAGGGTACCTCATGTGAAACGACATTTAGTTCCATTTCCTTCTCGATCTGTTTTACAGCAACTGAATCGTGTGATGAATAAGATTGGTGTTAATGACGTGACATATTTAAATGATGAAAACCAATGCACTGTTACCGATACTTTACCAAAGTATATCCAGACTTACAGAACAACGGTATTTAAGCTGACATTAAACAGGGGATGTTCACGAACATCAGCATATTTACAGAAGGCACAAGACAGTGTGTCAGCACAGTGTGTGTTTCTGTCTCAATGAACAGGAACAGGAAGGGCAGAGGGAGAAGAGAAAGTGCATATACCTGTGTGTGTGTGTGTGTGTGTGAGAGTGTGTGTGTGTGTGTGTGTGTGTGTGTGTGTGTGTGTGTGTAGAGGTTACACTGGATTTCATTACTTCAGTTATGTTCAACATGTTGCAGATAGACCTGCCTGGTAGACATCCTCTTGCGTTCCTCTTGCGAGCCTGTGAGCTGACCGGTAAGATAACAAAAAAGGTTTTATTGGCCCATATTACTTTACAAGATAATCTGCCTTTTAAGACGATTGATCCCGCTGCTTTACAGTTTTTTTATTTCCTTGTAAACTCCTAGACAGACCACCTTGACAGTCAGTGTGTCACTGTGAAACTTTTAAAACTGTCAATGATAATTTAATGCACTCTGTTGGGTCTTTATCATTGCCTGGAATGACTGTATCCATTGTACAATATGAGGAAGTGGAAGCAAACATCTCACCTATGTTTCTTACTATTTTCCCACTTTGCTTGTAAATATTTTGATTACTATATTCATTCATTACATTTTTGTATTTCAATCACCCTTTATGGTAATTCTGTTCTAATTTCACACATGCATTGCCTTAGTCGGACTGTCTTAAATAAGCACAATGTTGCATTAAAGAGCTTTCTTTTCCAGTCAACTTTTCTCTAAAAATGTCCTACTGTATGCTTCAAGCAGAAAGTAAGTTAAGAACGCCCGAAGAAGGCTGTTTGTGCTGCTACATTTAGGTTGTTACCGAGCAACGGCCTCTGGTGTAGAAAAATGATGCCAATGTGGAAGTGCAAAATCCTGCAGTTCATCGAGTGTCCACTAGAGGCTGGGTCCAAGAGCCCCGTAAGTCACATACCCACTGTCCAAACTTTGGTCAGTTCTTCCAATGTACTGCCACGACACATGAGGTTCAAACTTTTTCTTCTGACCTAAAAATATTTTCAGCACCCCACAGATTCAAAATTTTCACATGTTGTAAACTTGATCTCAAGTCACTGAGAAGCCAGAGAGTAGTTTATGGTAAAAATAAAAGCATCCCACATTTGATTTTCAGAAGTCACCAACGGTAATCAATTAAAAAAAAAACATGGAAAAATAGCTTAAGTATGCTTCAGTGAGAAGTTATAGAGGTGGATTTTGAAATACAAATAATATTTAAAATGTTTGTGTTCCTTAAAAACAACATGTGACGCCATTTATATGATTTCAAACAGTCTAGTCTTTTCCTAAAAAGTTATTGTGCTTATTTTTAACTTACTAAAAAAGGCAGGCAAACTTCTGCACTTGTCAAATACGCTTGCAACTTTTCTCTACCGAAACGCCGGCAATGTATTTAGCAATAGCCAATGTCTTTTGCTCACAGCAGCTGTGGTTCAAAATACGGCTGAAGATCTGTTTTTTTTTTATTAAAATCTTTTGACTTGCATTGTAGCCACGCGGTTGACTTTTTTCCGCCGCCATATTGCTGTATTTAAAACTCTGAAAACTTCATCTTTGGCTGTTTATCCTCATTTACCTCATTGACTAGTGTATGTAACCCTGATTATGTCCAATGGGTGGTGCTGCTGTACATAATTATCATTGTCTTAAAACTGAAAAATACCGGTAGTGACTCGGCGCTGAACAGCTCCTCAGAAATCTCACAGAACAAGAGCAAAAAACATATCTTTTCACATATCATTTATAGACCCTCAGACAATCATATTTTAGTTGAAGGAAATAAATACAATAAAATATATATCTACGATTCCTCAGAAAATAGTCTACACAAACGGCCTGGCTCAAGTCACTAATTTCTTATTTTGTTCACCTTTTCTAACCATTGCTACTCATTCAATTTGTTGAATAAATTAGAGGTTATTTTAACAAGTTCTACTCTCTGTGATGTTTATATATGAAAAAACTAAACATTTTGTTGCAGAAATGAAAGAAATCCATTCATGCCCAAAGTAACCCTAAACAGGCAAGTCAACCAACTGGTTGACCTGCATATCTGCTTCCTGATTGGGTAATCTGAAAAATATAACCTGAAATGTTGCTTAATGAAGAGGCAGGAACACAATTTGACCAACAAATAATTTTTTGCAAATGGATTTCTTAGTGTGGAAGTCAAAGGGTTAACAGAGTAGTGTAAATGGGGCTCTTGGTGATACATTTAACGCACAAACAAAATCCAGCAAACACATTTAGAGTAGGATTTTAAAGTTGGTGACTGATAATGAACATTTTAAAGAGAGCACTTAAGGCCCCCATTTAAGAGTTTTGAGCCGGCCATGAGACAGACTAAACTTAATAGTGATGTCTCTTTATGAGCTACAATAACAAACTAGACCATCAGAAACAAGTATGATGGTTTCTATGTAGTTATTTTTAATGCCTGAAACTGCTGCCGGGGGGTAGGTGGCAGACAGAGTGATTATCCGTACAATGCTGAAACAGCTTCTTCTTTTTCAATACATTTTCTTCAACAAAGATTCAGAGACTTTTTGTCGGAAAACGACTAAAAGACGTATAAAACAATATCAGCAAAAGGATTAGACTTCTTTTTCATCAAGGGGCGCCACAATTCACAACCAGAAGTTCCTCATTGGAGCTTTACACTTCATAACTTTAAATGCAGACCCTGGCATATCTTCATTTGCAAAAAGCCCTGAAAAGAGTCACTGATGTGAGCTGGTGCTGAGGCTAAGTTCCACAACCCAATGCTCTCCAAACACAAATCAGTCAACATTTATCCATATGCTGCACCAAGGACAGACACAGTGACCATAAAATGCACGTGGACAATAGAAGACAAAAAATCTTTAACGCCTAAAGATATTGGACTCTGTAGTCTTTGTTTAACAGATCAGGTTGTGATGAAAATGCAGCAGTCATGTCTTGTTTGCTGGTCTCTTAAAGCTTCATGTAACTTCAAGGTGGGTCCGTCCACAAAGCTCAGCTGTGGGAGCATCTGTCCACCCGATGGATGGATGGATGGATGGATGGATGGATGAATAGATGGATGGATGGATGAATAGATGGATGAATAGATGGATGGGTGTATGAATGGATGGATGGGTGGATGGATGGATGGATGAATAGATGGATGGATAGATGGATGAATAGATGGATGGATAGATGGATGGATAGATGGAAATTATGAATCCATAAAAAACACATTTCCTTTGATTGACATGTAAAACATTGGTCAAGACGATGCTTTTAAAAAACAAAATTAGGCAACTTTGTGGAAAGGAAAAATATCTTCTTTTTGATATCCATCTGCAAAAGAAAATATTGAATGCAGCTCAGACTAATAGTGTAATTACTGTCAAGTTACTTTTTTCAGCAAATGTTCTTTTTTTAGTGTTGTCTTTATTTTTATCAACAATTAAGCATTTCATCTTAATCACATATTAAATAGATTTTACATTTCCCCCCATATAAACACAATAAACACATTCACCCACTAACAACCTCATATCCCATGAACACATTCCTCCAAACTTGCATACATGGAACAGCACAGTCTTATACGGCCGACTAGGAATCAACATGGTAAATGAAACACAATAAGCATGAGTGCATACAGTGAGTAAATTAATACAGACAACAGATTCTACCCTTATCTTTCAGCTATCCCTTGTTGATCTAGGAAGCACCTTCCAGGAACATATTCTCTGTCC